TGCAAATATTCTATAAAATACCAATGACAATGGCATTCTTTACAAAACTAGGAAGAAGTCACAAAATGAGGAAACATAAAAGATTGGATAGATAAAGCAATCCTAAGTAGAAAGAACAAAACTAGAGAGATTCCCACCCCTGGCTTCGAGATATATTACAGTCATAGTAACAAAAGCAGCATAGCTATTGGACAAACAGATGCATAAATCAGTGTAGTTAAATGGAGAACATAAAAGTAAAACCACACAGTCTCAGCTAGAGACACCTAATTTTTGACAAAGATATCACTGGAAAATATATTTGAATAATGGTTCTACAAATATGGATATGTATACATATAAGAACCTAGATCCCTATCTCTCTCCCTGACCAAAACCCAAATCCATCAAAGATCTTAATGTGAGACATGAAATGCTAAAGCTGTTAGAGGAAAAAAGCTGTGAGAATGCTTCAAAATATATGCATATCAAAAACTTCCTCAAAAATATTCTCCCAAATGATTAAATCAGTCTCAAAAGGCAAATACCATGTTTTCTCTCTTCTTTGGATCCAGATTTTGTACAGACAGATAGAATCATGTAGGTATTGAGGATATGGGAGCAGAAACACAACTGCCTATGAGACAAAGGGAACTAAATGGAGTGGGGAGGAGTGGGGAGTAAGATAAAGGTCAGAGCAGGAGTGCAGTGTAAGATATTCTACGTCATATGAAAGTATCTTATCAAATACAGTATTAGATACTATGCATACACAACAACACACACACAATAAAACAGAATCACACCTCAAAGAGAAGCCAATCATATTCTTACATATGGTTTTAAGAAAGAAACCACTGATTTTAACCTGTTCTTTAGAGTTTTCTTGCTGAATATTATAAACTATCTAAATTATGAATCTTTTTTTATGTACTAAATCTATAATAAAGTATTTTTCTTCCAAATATTGAGTAGTTTCCCAATGAGGGACATTCTTACCATCTGATGATGTGTTTTCAAATGTCATAGCTAAAAGATTGTATGGAACAACAAATGTCATCAAAAACTCATTAAAATATAGAATATAGAATAATTCTACCAAGCAATATACAAACATCTGTTTTAATCCACCAGCCAATATTACCAACAATCTCTGGTTCATTGTAGAGATATGCAGTTAAATCTACCAAAACAAACATTTTAGGTTGATCAATATAATGCTAGCTTCCAGCTTAGAGCATGTAGAGGAGACCCTTGATCTCACCACTGGCTGAAAAGCTATTATTAGCATTTCATAGTGGCGGCATGAGGGAGAATCAGTTGCTTTACTGACACATATAGTGTGACCACACAGCTGAGCTGGCCCCAATCCCAAGACTAGTTGGGCAACACAAAATGGACTCAATGAAGAAAAAAATTAATCTCAAAGTTCATTATGAAGGAATTGGATGTTGAGAGGGAAGTCATAGGAGGAATTGAGAGAATCAGTATGTTTAAAATGCATATGAAGTTCTCAAAGAATTAATGAAAATATAAAATCCAATAAAAGTTTATTCTTTAAATAATACTATGTTCTAGCATAAGAATTTGCCAAAGTAAGCCAATATAGAAACAAATAAAAGGAAAATAAGAATGATGACCAAACAGATAATCCACAACAGTATTTTGAGGATGGAGAGCAAATAAAAACTTTTTACAGAACTAAACTTATCCAAAATGTTTTAGAAAAATGACCATTTGAAATGAAGTTTGTCATACTATCTATTATATAATATCTACATGGTTACATAAAAATATTATAAAAAATCAGCTCCTTAAAATGAGAAAAATTATTTTAACAAGTTTCTAAGTTCTTTCCAAAATGCTTCATTTTTTCCTTTATCCTTATGTGAAAACTTTGTGTGCCACTTCAGCTGGATCTTAAAGTAGAAACTACTTAGCCACACCAATTTATCCTAAACAATAAAAATCTCTAGCATCAAAGATGCCCTAACTCCTTTGAGTTTTAATTAAGTAACTATGTAATAAAGACTTGTAGAAAATCTAAAATGAATCCAATCCACTAGATGAAAATTCAGGAGTACATCCTTGCTTCCTTTCAGTGTGTAATTTCCTATAAACAATCCAGTCAAAAGATGATACTGCAATACCAATGTTTAACACTTAAAACAACATGGGACGAATGAGGTGGCTCTGTAGATAAAGGTCCCAAGCAAAGACAGGAGTGCAAGTCCCAGAAACCACATGTGGGAGGAGATAATCAATGGCGAGGAGTTGTCTTCTGACCTATATCCACACGCGCACAAACGCGCGCGCGCGCGCGCGCGCGCGCGCGCACACACACACACATACACACACACACACACACACACACGAGAGAGAACTATTTAATTAATTAATCTAAAATTTAAAAATCCATCCGCTAATGCTAAGGTCAAATGTCTCCGCTTAGTGGACCTGCAGCCTCCTTTTCCTGTATGTGACTCAGCAGCATAGAAAATGAAGACAGTGCAGATTATAACTTTACAAAATTGACAGATGTCATTTAAAAACTCTACAAATGTCTGAAAGTGAATGAAATAACTAATTTCATTTGGCTTTTAGATGACTCTACTTGGGGAGAGTCAAATTAGAAGTCGGTAGCCTTGTACATCTCATTTCAGACTAAACAGCATTTACAGTGGGACACAAAGGGTGGAACAGCCATGTAATCATAGCACTTGGAGGTCAGGAGTTCAAGGTCATTCCTGGCAACACAGTCTGGGCTACACAAAACCTTGTTTCAATAAAAGCTACATTTTATATCTATTGAACCACACTAGTTCAAAGTAAAAATACACATTTTATTTCATTTATACTTTTAGAACATTTTGTGATGAATCACTAAGAATACTGTGTAAAGAACAACCAGATGCCTTTTTAGTCTAAACTTAGAATTTGCAGTCATTAAGCTATAGCCTCATTAAAAATGAAAACAAAAGCATATTTTGCATTGATTCCTCAGGAAAGTTAGTTTAGAAGAAGGAAAGTAGATAAAATGGCCTCTGAGACCTCTAATACACACAGTTAAACAAAATGTTATAAATATAACATATAAATATGTGTATATAACAAATATAGCCAGGCATTGGTTGTGCACGCCTTTTAATCCCACCACCCAGGAGCAGAGGCAGGTAGATCTCTGTGAGTTTGAGGCCAGCCTGGTATATGCGTGTGTGTGTGTGTGTGTGTGTGTGTGTGTGTGTGTGTGTGTGTGTATGTATCCTTTAATGTTTAATGTATAACCTATCTAGACTTAAAGTCATTTAATCAAATTTTACCATCATAGTATTTCCATACTCCTCCTAACTTGGAGAATAATCAGCTAAATTTTTGTTCATTGAGCAATGTCCTTGGGTGCCTGTAACCTAACATTACTGTTCCAGCTTTAGTAACTGTTAGCCTAGAAGTAATGCAATAGAGCTGAGATACTGAATTTAGAAAGGGAAGCAATCCAAAGGAAGAACCCAGGAGAAACATTAAAATGTGACCAAAGCTTAGAAACCTGGTTAGAGTAATGGAAGGGTACTTTGAATCGTCCTATCCAGACTGGACAAAAGAGGAGATAAGCACCAGGGCTACACCACCACTGTAGGCATGCCAAGGCTCCAATTTTAGGTTGAAAGTTACTTTCTGCATTCATTCATGCTAAACTGCACAGCATTGGTGTTGAATTATCTTCAATTTTACACTCAAGAAAATAAACCTCAAAAGCGACTGTCTGCATTGATTCATTCTATTCTGTACAATGTGTGTGTTATTATCTTCCATTTTATACTTAGGTAAATGAACCTCAAAGTTAAGTATCTTGAGGCAGGAATCAAGGCACTGGACTCCTCTTCTCACTAGACTGCATGGCCCCTTTGGCATCTCACCTGTGACCCTCAAATGAAGATGTCTAGGCAAACGAATCTGGAAAATGCTCAACCCAGGTCTTCAAATATGTCCTCTATCCTTTCAAAGCCTGGAGCCTCCCAGTCCCAAATTGATTCCTCAACCTTCCTAAAATGCTCAATGACACTCTGTGTTGCTGTGCAGAACAGTCACTTGTGATAGGTTTCCATGTGAGCTGCACCTCTAGAACCTACTTTTGGGGCACATAACAAGAAACACTTGGCTAGTGAATGTACTAATCCTACTCTACCCAACTTGCTCCTATTTTCATTGCTTACATTAGAGTTATGTTTAATATAAAGTATTATTCTTTTGCATTAATTATCTTACCTATAACAAAACTTAAGCTCCCATAGTACAGAATAGGCTTGAGTTTCAGGAGCAGGCAGTTACTCAGAATTTTTAAGAGTGTTTGGAAGTGCTCCCACAGGGTAAAATATTGCTGCAGACTTCAGGCCCTGTTCCTCAGCCAGTGAGGCCAGCATGGATTCTAACCTTTTTCTCCTCACTGGCTTTGCTCTCTGTTCTCTTCCTCTGATACAGAGTATAGCTGGCTAATCAAGTGTATTCTTTCAGTCATTTACAAATGCATGTGTCTATGTGTGCATGTGTACGTGGGTGGATGAGTGGTGGTGGGGGGGTGATGTGTGATGTGTTTCTCCAAAAATGTCCAGGCCATTCTTACAAATATTCTCTTCAATCATTCACTCTACTTACTCTTTCCAGGGCACAAAGAAGCCAAGAGGAAGTTTCTTCTGTGTTGTTTCTTCCTGACGTTCTTTAAGCCTTTGGATTTCTTCTGCTGTTACTTCTGTTATATTGACATACAACCCTAAATGAAGCTCCTAGACATTATCTTAACAACCAGTCATCTTGGCCATGTGTTTTGTTATATTGGTGAGGATAAAGCCATTGGTTACTAATGGAATCAACTAGTTTTCCAATGCCAATGAGCCACTGAAGTCAACAGAAAAAGCCTAAGACTCCTGAGGTTTCTTCAACATGTTGGTATATACTATTCATTAAATTCAATTTTTTCAGATACAAACAAAAAGGAAGCAGAGGAAATACTGTGTTTACTCACTCACCAAAACAACAACTACAGGATACAAGAGAGGAAGGCTGCTCTCTTCAAGTGTGCCCAGGAACTTCTGGGTTTCTTGAAAATTTGAGGACACAACCTTGAAGATAAGAAAGTAAGATAAGAGAAAGTTAAAGGAAGTTTTTACAGAATGGAAGTTGGCTCATGGGGAGATGAGCTTTATAATATATTCAATGTATTTATCATAATTAACCATTAAACCACTTTAAAGGATACCTACAATTTATGCATACTATGATTCAGCTATTTTCTGGGTTGAACTGTCTACAGAAGCAATACTTGCATCTCTTTCTAGGAACTGGATTCAGAAAATAATGTTTTCCTATTTGAAATGGTAAAAATACAACTTTTAGCACATAGTGAATAACAGAACTAATCTATCAAAATCTTCTGTTGCATATGTAAGGGTTAAGAAGGGTCAATTCCCTCTGAAATTGTTAACTCAGGTCTCAAATGCTTCCACCCATTTGTGTTTGGTACTTACATTCACACAGATGAAGGAATAGCACTGGGCTATGAGGAAGTTCTGAATGTTTCCACCTGTGTGCTCCAGAGGTGTGGATGTGATGTTAACGAACTAGGAGAAAAAACAAATCAGAAGACATTTGTTTGCTATCTGGACACAGACCAACATGAAGATAAGTGACTTTATGACAAAGCAGCAGATGTGGTCTAAACTCATGGATCCCTGTGGCATCTACAGTAATAAACCTAGGCTAAACTTTATCAGACCACAACAAGAAAGATATTTCAATCCTTGAATATTTAATTCATGAACAATATATATTATTTGAGAAACCAAAACTGTAGGCAACTGTTTCAAACAGAGGGATATTGCTGGGGACCAAGAAAACACTTAAGAACAGGAAAGGAGCCTGGTTTATGTTTTCTGAATCATTTATTACAGTGGATGTTTGGGAACCAGAACAGAAAGGCTGACTGGGCAGTTGTGGTAGAATTGCAGAGGTGTGTTTAATATCAAAGTTCAAACAGTAGATTACACTCCACCTGGAATGACTAAAAGCAGAGAACACAATAAGAAATTATTACAATGGTTTCTGTTAAAGAGAAATAAGAACTGCACTTGGGAAGTAATTATCAAAAAACAAAGATTCTGCCAAAAGCCATCTTCTAAGAGGTATGGTGATGAACACCTTTGATCCCAGCACACAGGACAAAGAAGCTGATGGATCTCTGTGAACTCTATGCCAACCTTGCCTTCATAGTGAGACTCTGTCTCAACAAACAAACAAAAAGTATTAACCTTAAACTAGACTAGAAGAGACAGTACAACAATCATAAAATTTTCCCCAATAAAATATTTCTTAGATCTTGGCATTATCTTGCTTCAAGTTTTTCTTTAATTATAAACACAAACTTAAGAATTATTATATAGGATTCTCTCATAAAAATCGAGATGTAACAATGTCTCAGGAACTCACATCTCATGATTCATACCCACCTGGCATTTATCACACTTTACAATATATATTTCTAAAATGCAATGTTGTACCTGACACATGGAACTGTAGCCCCGAGATGCCCCACTCAATAGCTTAAGCCCATATACTGTTATTGATCCCATATACTGGGATGATGGAGAGGGGAGGTTTCAAGAACTAGTTCTGATATAAAAATTAGTTCACAGAGAACTCTTAAGATTTTATTTCTTTAAAATTTGTCCTGAGCCCAAAGTTCAAAGACAACACTGACTTTAAAAAAAGGAAGAAAAGAAAAGAAAAAGAAAACAAAGGCAAGCCTGCCCTGGTAGCATTTACAATTAACACAATAAAAGAGATCAACTCCCACTGTGCATCAGGCTTCACCAAGAAATCCCATGTTCTGGATGTTACAAGGAGACAATTTTTCATGGCCTCTAGAGTATCCAAATAATTTCAAAGGCTTTAGCAGCTAATTTGCTCCAGACCGTTCATGATGTTGGTATAGCAGGCCACTTGGAATGAATGCTATGCCTGTCCTACTGAAGATTCGTTTACTTTTTAGACATTAAGAACAGAGATGTCACTCTCCTGGGAGCACATTTCCCAAATGTTCCCCAATCATAAAGACATGTCTCCCATATGACTGAAGGATGAGTGGATTTGTTGGCATCCATTGCTTATGATTAGACTTGCCTAATATCAGGAAATTTTTTCCACTAAAATGATTTTTTACCAAACCGATAAAAGTTTCCCCTTCCTCCCTCCCGTTCTCCCAGTCCCTCCCTTCAAACGCCCAAACCCATCAGGTCCATTTCCCTTCCCAGTCAGGACCTGATAGAGGAGAATGCATTGGAACAGAAGACTACTTCCTGAACAGAACACCAAATTAACAGTTAATAAATGGGACCTTGTGACACCGAAAAGCTTCTTAAGGCAAAGGAGACCATCAAATGAACAAAACAGCAGCCCACAGAATGGGAAAGATCTTCACCAATCTCACATCTGACAGAGGGTTAATTTTCAAAATGTATAAAGAACTCAAGAAACTAGATATCAACAAACCAAATAATCCAGTTAAAATGTGAGCAACAGAATTCTCAACAGAGGAATTACAAATGGCCAAGAAATGCATAAAGAAATGTTCAACATCCTTAGCCATTAGAGAAATGCAAATCAAAACAGCTCTGAGATTCCATCATCCACCTGTCCAGATGTTTATTAAGAGTTCCATTGTCAGGAAACTGCTAGCCTAACTGCATCTCTCCAGGAGTTGCATTTCAGAGAGCAAGCTCTGTCCTCTCTTCTTGCTACTGCAATGACTATAAGAAGTAATTATCTTTTCCGGAGTCTCAGGTCTTCAACAGGATGAGTGGCACTGTGTCAGGATAACCTGTATGCATGTAAGCAGAATCTTCTTTCATTTGTTACACCTGAATCCAGACAACCATAGAAACAGACTAACTCTAGAAAAGTAGCATCCATTTTTAATCACCAAAGAATAACCTGTGAGTGTTGGCTAGACACCATTTGATGCTGTAACTCGAAGAAGGGCAGATTGACTGAAAGGCATCAATACATTTTTTTGTAAAAGGGCATAAATCACAAGATGATTTTAAATTGAAATGAAAGGACACTAAATGCAGTATAGCCGCAACTGTTGATGAATTTGAGATAAGTTTAACATGCAGAGAAATCCATTTCCAATGTTTAAACAAAGATATCACCAATGTGACAGAGACCCTGGACTATTAATGACAACCTGATACATTTGAAAGTCACTGTTGACATCTTTCTGTGGAAGAGGAGGCACAAGCTGGATCATGTTCTGCGTATTATAAGGCAACTGCATAGCTTACCTATTTTACAAACAATAATCTGCACCAAGGATTTTAATAAAGCCCCACATCTTAATTCATTTTCACAAAATTTTACATTGGATTATATACATCTGCAAGAGTTTTTATAGACTTGCATTTGATTTTGTACGTGCATGATAAATGCATAAGTGTGGCAGTGTGCATATTGCATGTGTTTGGTGGTCAGACAGCCATGGGCATCTGTCCCCACCTTCTACTCTGTTGTCTCCTGCTATGTACACATGGCAAGGAGGCTAAGAGTGTTCTAAGTAATTCTCCTGTCTCTATCACCTCACAGCCAAGTGCTAGAATTGTGTCAGACTTTATGTCGGTTCTAATGATGTAAACTCAGGTCTTCGGGTTCACAAAGGAAGCCCATTGAGCCCCCTCCATAGCTTTGTTTTATGTTTTTAGGAAAGACCTTGACAGTTGTATATTCTTTGGGCCTTTTGTTTTGATTTCCAAGAATAACTTGCCTAGGAATAAAAGTTTGCTTTGTATTTCTTTCCTTCATAAATTTGTACATGCTAGCAACTCCACCTAAAGACCACATTCTTCCTCACTAGTTCTTCACTCCATCTCTCAAGCCCCCATTCTCTACCAATCACTGTATTGGCTAGATTCCAGCATTGAGTGGATTTTCATAAGTGTCCTCAGAGATGTGATACTGAAATTCTCTTTGTTCTAGATGATGAACAATCAGACATTTCATGATATTCCTGAATTCTGATTTCATTTGAAACTTGTATGGGAGATTCCATCAACTCTGAGTGGACTCTGTGGGAATTTCAGGCTCATTAAGTATTCCTAGGTTTTGCTTGCTTTTGCATTTCCACCAAGGGGCAATTGGAGGAACTCTTCATATCAGAGACCCATTGGAGAACTAGTGAATTTCCTATTCAAGAGATTTCTTTGCAACTCTCACTTGGCCTTTGCTGTGCTGTGCCCTCAAAGTGCTTATAACAGAGAGAAAGGAATTCATGATGGAAGAGAGTTATTTTTATATAAAAATTTATTTTCATTTTACATTACCATCCCCAGTTCTCCCTCCCTCCCCTCCTTTCCGACCACAATCCAGTCTTCAGCAGGATAAGGACTTCCTTTGGGATTCAACAGTCTGGAAGTTTCTGATGTGAAAATACCAAAGACTGTCAAAGGGGTATGAAAACAGAACTAATCCCAATAAGCATGAGTTCCTGTAACAGGGAATTCAAGGTCCTATTTTATTACATGTAGATATTAGCTATCCAAAGCTATAAACTGTCTGAAAAAAAAACATAAAATTAATGAGCAACACGTAGCTAATGAAGCCTGTGTCTTGTCCTGAGCTTGTACTACAGAACATTACACTGGTCATGGTTAATGAGTGGCCAGTGAATAAGTAAAAGGGACAAAATGCCCATTAACTCACAAATTGTGTTTGGCAACCACAATATGTACCTCAAAAAATGATAAAAGATAACATGTTATAAGGTATACATAGTAATGTGATCTGTTTAGATTTAATAATGCATAAAAACTTTCCAAGTTAAGAATTTAGAAGTTGACATAAACAAATGTTCGGTCTTAACTAAAAGCACAGTTATAAAGGGTAGGAAATCCTATCCTGAGATGAATGAGCATAAGTTTCCCTAATTGGACCAGGCAACATTCAGTGAGGGCAACGTGAACACTGTGCCAATGCCAGTGAATGAAGAGCTTCTGCCTTTGAGAAGCTCATATCATCAAGGGTAGAAGATGGCTACACCTGCAATTCTACAACTTAAATGGGATTAGTATATGTGAGACACAAAATGCAGATTGGTCACTTTCCTGAATATAGGAATTGGCATTTCTGAAACACTTCCAACTGGTGGTAATATTACCAGTCTCTGGATCCTAGGAGAAGCCCTGGTAGACCCCTTACAAACATACAAATCCAAATGGGCTCTCTTTCCTCAAGTACATACAGTCACTGAAATGTACAAACATTCAATCCAAAGACCATGTCATCCTCACAAAATACCAAACCAATGCTTTTCTTATCATTTAAAATGAATCGCCTATTTCTTTACTAGATATACTAACATGGTGAACATGAATGATAAAAGTAAACACTTATTATTCTTACAATTTCCCTTCTAAAGCTTGTCACATAATTTTATTTGCATGTACAAAGGTTAGTTTTTCTAAGGAATAAGGAAATAACCTAGATGCATATATAAGTTCCATTTCATAATTTCTCCATAATTATAACCTAAGATATATAACAAATAATTCAAGTTCTGAGCAAAATATCA